GTTGGGGATCTGTTGAGCTATTGTTAATGATAAATACTCTATAACATGTAGGAATCCTATTACTCACGTGTGCCAACCCTGTCATGCTCTGGCTTATTGCCTCGTTAGTCAATGGCCCAGCAGCCTCCTGGTTCTGTAGTCTATCATCATGGCTGTGTTGTCTATCTCCCTGGTGGTCATGGTCATGGCCATGCTCTGAAGATATCAGTCAGCGAGTGTTGTCGCGAATATCAGAGGAGCATGGAATCTTTTCTCACCATGAAGGAAGGATAGTACGAGAATGTTTAGTGCCAAACCAACACAGCCAACTATCATGATCAGGAAAGGTTTCTGTACGCCTATTTTGTTAGTTTCTTCTGGTTGTGATCCAGTGTATCAACTGACAACTTACGAGTCAGATGAACGAATCGTTCAACAGCCTGCAACAGGATACTGATCCCCAGGGCCAAAAGAAAGACTCCGTTGAAGAAAGCACCCAGTATAGTTGCTCTGTGCCATCCATATGTGTATCCTTGTGGAGCTGGTTTCGTATGTTCTTGCAGCTACCATGATAAGCTAAATAAGACACTTGAGTAGTAGGTCCGCAACATACCATCAACGCTATCAAAGTGACAACTATTCCGATGAGATCACTAAGCTGTTTGCTGTAAGATATACATCTCCATCTTGATCTATGAGGGATTTGCGTACGTAGTGAAAAGCATCGGCGATCAACGCGATGGAGCGAGTATAGAACCCAACTAGATGCTGTCAGCAGTGAGGACTCTCACGATCACATTTGACTTACCAGCCAATTCAGCTGCAAAGAACGAGAAGGATATACATATTGTGGCTATCAGCCTCTGCTTCTTTGTGACTTTCATTGTGGTATCTTGAGGTTCTGGTCTTCGGTTAGAAATTCTTTTGTAGATGTATGTGGATTCTCGCTTCTGGCCTCTTGAGTTAACAGCTTTGCAAATCCAGACTTCAGGGGGTTTCTCATTATCAATGGAATCAACTCGGATTTATATCCCTTTGAAAATTTCAAGGAGTGATCTTCCACAGTTAAGAGGTCTGAAAAGGTGAACTCTCGTAGGAAGCTGGCATAACATCCCATCAGCTTGCAGGGCAAACAGCAGTGTATTATTGTCAGAAATATCCAAACACGTCAGAGATAGATTCCATCCGTCACCCATACCCATTGAAAATACCAATAGAAGCCAGCGAAGCGAAGACGGATATTAAAAAAGTGGTTTATCAAGGTGTTGGCTCATGTAGCTATCCGTGATCGGGTTCCGGGACAATGATTGGGGTAGCATCAACTTGCCGGGCCGAAGATGGAATACAGGCATGTTTTAGATAGAATTCCTGTTTCACGACAGCTCTTTGTGTTTGGTGAATATAAAGCTTCGTGCTGTTGTGTGCTCTGGTGATGTTGGCTGTTGCCACGGTAAGGTTAGTTTGCAGTGAAAACTAGCATACAGGTGGCCAATCTTGCATGAGCAATCTGGTACACTTCAAAGACTTATTATGTATTGCATATATTCATATGACTGGCGCTTAAATCGCTTTCCTTTGTGAGGTTCACCGAGCGTCTTGTGTAATGTCACTGTGTCCCTAGGGTATGCAAATCTGTGTGTCTCCTATTCACCGATATTCTGGCCACCTCACAAGAATTTGGAGAGACGGTTTTGGAAGGGTAATCATAGAAAAAGTCGACGCTGGTCGTAATCAGAGACATTTGATTTCGCAATGAAATAAAAAAGATGTGTTGCTGGTGTGGAGGACAAAGTTGGTTTGTACCAGCCAGCATTGGACTCTGAAGGGGTAAGAATCCTCAAGGAAACAGTATTTAGTTCGGAACTTTGTGATTCCCTGGCTCGTGTAGCCCGTGACAAAAAGGGCAACACATCCCGATTTCAAACTCGAAGATATCTACACAATCTGGCTCACTGGAGTGCTGAAAGAACCATTTGAAACAAGTCGCATTATCTTTTCTATAAATCGACCAAACGCCATGCGTAGATGCCACTGCAATCGACAAATCACTTCTTCCTGGTAGGACGGGCGTTTTTGAGCCTCTTCTTCTCCTTCTCCTGTCTCGCCTTGCGGATATCGTCCCTGCCTTTGAGTTCCTTCTTGCTTCCCATACCATCGCGGAAACGGCCCACGCGCTTCTCTCTCGCCTCGTCGACACGCTTCTTGCGAACCTGGAAGTCGTCGCGGTACTTGTCTGCCTCCTTTGGTGCCCTCTCCTGCTTGTGTTTGTAGCGGACACCAGAGGGAATGTGGGCAACATGGTTGGCACCGCCAGGACGTTCTGCCTCGCCGACATGAGGGAGCTTGCCGAGACGGTTGGCACGCTTCCACTTGTCAAATCGGCCACTTTGGAAGCTGGCTGCGATCTTGACACCACTCTCGCCACGGATCAACTTGGCACCCTTGGATCCGTCATCGTCGTTCTCTCGTGACACATACTTCTTGGACTTCTTGTCCCAACGCATCTTTGAGCGAGTTGGCTCGCCGAAGCTCTTAGCGTTCTCATCATTCGTAAGATCCATGGTCACGCCACGAGCAGCCTCCACAAAGTTGGAAGAGTCTTGGCCACCGGATGACACGCCGTAGCCACGTTCCTCGGCGGCGTTGAATGTTCGAGGCGTGTAAGACATGAAAACTTCTGAGTCTCGCCAATCCGTCTGTCCCTTCTTTGGGTTGGTGTTGGATACGGTGACCTCCAAACCATCATCCGATTCCTCAGGGGCCTCGTCCACATCCATCTGGTCTTCATCTTCATCAGACACGGCGTCCACCTCGGCACCAACTGGCACATCGTCATCAATGCCATCGAAACCGTCGTCATCCTTCTTCTCTGTCTGCCTTCGTGGCGTAATTCTCTTTCTCAATTGCTTCATGACTTCGGCAGCTTCAGTAGTCCCCTTGTCTCGGCGTCCGCCAATCTCAAAGATGGTCTCCTGAGGTCTGAAACCACTGATCCTAGCCAGCATATTGGCGCGTGCTTGTTCAGCTCCATCAACGTCCTCCCCAAAGAGTGCATGAAGTTGTGACCAGCCCTTACTTCCGACCAACTCTTTCGATCGCTTCGCACTTTGACTAGCTGCCGAGTTCCTTGTTCTCAAGTAGAGCTTCTCTGCCTTGATAGCAACTCCTCGTAGTGCTGAGATGTCCTCACTTTCGTACAAAGCTTTGTTGAACCATTCTACCTGAGCTTCCACGGGGTCTCGTTTTAATGCGCCAACAACCACATCATCTGCAAATGATGGGTTCTTGGCCTCCTGGCCAATAACAAGTCTCTTACCAAGGAACAACTGAAGGTCAAGAAGATAAGGAGCGTCGGTATCTCTCACGAGACTGTAGCTCCAACCACGTTGGCCTGCTCGCGCAGTACGACCAACTCGATGAACAAAAACCTTGGGCTGGGGAGGAAAGTCGAAGTTGATGACATTGGCAAGAACTGGAATATCAATACCACGTGCAGCAACATCAGTAACGACAAGAATATTTGTCTTGCCTCTTCGAAAGTCTTCGACCTGAATTCTCCGTGCAGTCTGGTCAAGGGATCCGTAGACATAGGAAACAGCGAAACCAGCATAAATCAGTAAGTTGGCGAGGTACTCGACGTGATGCTTGGTTGCTGTAAAGACGATCGTGGAATGTTCGGTAGGCTTGCCGCTTGAACCGTCTGCACCCCGTTTTCGCTTCTTGGATCCTGTCTCGGAGTCCTCTGCGCTCACTGGGGCTCCGACTGGCATCTTGATAACGTCGTGGAGGATATGCAACAAAGATCCCTCCTTTTCAGCACCCTTGACAGAGAAGAAAGCGCTCTCAAGATCAGGAGAGACCTTTGTCTCAGCATCAAGTCGCACGAGACTTGGATCTTGTAAGCCGGCGCGGGCGAATTCAACCAAAGAGGCAGGCAATGTCGCAGAGAAGAGCAAACTTTGTCTTGAAGGTGGAAGTGCATGAAGAATTTCTGTCAACTGTGCCGCAAAACCCATTTCAAACAAGCGATCAGCTTCGTCGAAAACCACGTATTTGATAGACGAGAGGTCCAAAGACATCTCGACCTTCAAATGAAGGAATCGTCCGGGTGTTGCGATCACAATATCGGGGTTGGCGGCCATAGATCCGAATTGTTCCTCCAAACTATCACCACCAACAAGCAAAACGCATTTTAAGTCGGTCCCTCTGCTGAATTCCTTCACAACCTTCAAAGTCTGAATCGCGAGTTCTCGAGAAGGCGAAAGGATAAGCGCTCGTGTTCCGAACCTGGCGCTGTGCGCGCGCAATCGTTCGATCATAGGAATAACGAAGGCTGCTGTCTTTCCGGAACCTGTTCTGGCCATGCCGACCAAATCTTTTCTGTCCAGAATCAAAGGAATGGCTTTCCGTTGGATTGGAGTCGGGACCGAAAAACCTTTCCGTGTAATGGCCTTTAGGAGATTGCTGTTCAGACCTGGAGGATATTAGTAGTCTCTTCACCATACACGTTGCTATTCTTACCCATTGCCTGGAAACCTCCACCTTTCTTGACCGTCCTGCCCTTGAGATTGGATGCTTTTCGAAAAGAAGCCGCCTGTTGAAGGGCAATGAATGCCTCATCATTGTCATCGTTGCCGGGGTCTGGGGCGTTTAACAGTCCATCGAAGTCGAAGTCGGCGCCGCCATCGTTGCCGTCATTCTCGTTTTCGCCGTCGCCGGGGTACAACGACCCAAAGATATCGATCTCCCCATCAGAAGGGGTCGGTGAGACGCCGCGTTGTGGCATTGTGACTCGCCGTCGATATCAGCAATATGTATGTAGAATTAAGATAGTCTAACAGGCTCAGTAGCTCTCTTTCCCAATAATTTTTTCTGTTATCTTATCTCGCGGGGCATATAAGTGGGCCGTTTTGTTACAGCGCTGCGACTGCCTATCGCCTACTATTAACCTACCATTCACTCACTTTCAACCTTGTTGGTTCTTCATCATTTCAACTTCTAGCAAGTTATCATTGCCCATAATGTCCAGCAACGATAGCAAAGATTTGAAAGAAGATAGAGATGCGCTCGATGCTCTTGAGCTTGAAGCCAAAGAATTTGACAAGGTCAGTTGTTTGCGATACCTATATCAGTCATCAAGGCTGCCGCTGACTCTCTCCAGGATGCTGAGATTGACCGCATCTTGAAGGCATTTCGCCTCGACGCGTATGTGAAACCCCCGTCGTTTCTCTGCATTGAGAACTAACTTTCCCATAGTTATGCTGTTCTTGATCTCCAACCTGGTGTCCCTGACTCAGACATCAAAGTTACTTACCGCAAGAAGTCTCTACTCATCCATCCCGATAAAACAAAGAATCCACTGGCTCCAGATGCCTTCGATCGGCTAAAGAAGGCTCAGACAGAGCTCATGGACGAGAAGCACCGTGCACGACTAGATGAAGCAATCGCGGACGCTCGAATGTTGCTTATTCGCGAGAACAAATGGACTGTCGACAGCGAAGAGCTCAAGACCGAAGAGTTCCGAAAGATGTGGCGCGCAAAAGCGCGAGATGTTCTCATTGATAACGAGCATCGCCGACGTCGCCAGATGAAAGCCCAGCTACAGGAAGAAGGTCGTGAACAACGACGTACTGATGCTGAGGTGGAAGAGCGTAAGCGCAAGCGACAGCATGAACAGGACTGGGAAGCCACTCGGGATGAGCGGATCAGCAGCTGGCGACAATTCCAGAAAGGATCAGGTGGCGAGAAGAAGAAAAAAAAGAAGCCCAAGCCCATCGGCTAGGGATCTTAGTGTTTCGCGGGAGTTCATTGGGAAGACAGCACGAAGGGACACGGCTACACTACACAATGTCGCGCTGGTATGTGAGTTAAATAATTATGATGAACGGTTTGGACTCTAATCAAGTCAGACAAGGTGCCCTCAGGTTTCATGCCTCACTCGACTCTGGAGACGTCGGTTTTCAGCACGGTAAGTTCACCATGAACGTGTGTCATTGACGTAGACTGTGTGATGTATTCGTAGTATCATTTATATTCAACGTGCACCTTGAAGTGACCTGAAATGCAATTCAATGAGGAGAGTGGCCTCGTTGGAGCTTCAGCTCCTTCTATACTACAGCGTTAGTATACAACAGATCTGATATAGTTGGCAGATCTACATGAGCATAGTAGTTGGGCTATCATAACCCTCCACCGACGCCATACAAAAAATATGAACCTTTTTGAACACCAACAAATGCGCTTCTCCCACTCTAATTTTAATAAGACCCCCGGTTTATGATACATATCATCATCAGTCGGAAGTTATTTATTTCGGATCCTTATCATCAGATTTCTTGCTTGAGTCGTCATGCTTGCTTGAATCCTCATTCGCCTTTTGGTGAGCGGGATTATTAGTCAGTGTGTGCCAAAGCGATTTGAGGAAGCCCTCATTCTTGTGCGATTCAGGGTCATTTGGGTCCCTTTGGAAGGTCAGTATCAATTGCTTCAATCGTCGAGGCTGCAATCAGTGCCTTACCTGGAAGAACCGACGCCCATCACGCGCTTGGCAGTCTTATCACCCATTTCGTCGGCAAGAAACTCAACAATAGTTCGCTGGTTAGCTGTCAAATACTTGGGCATGCTAACTCGGTATTCGACACGGAGATCACCGTTGACACCACGTCGTGAACCGAGACGCTTCATCCCCATACCGGGAAGTGTGATCTTGTCACCGGTGTTGGTGCCAGTAGCAACCTTGACATTGACTGTTCCATCCAGAGTAGGGATCTCTGCATGGCCACCCAGCAAGGCTGTTGTAAGGGGAATATTGGCAGTGTAAAGAATGTTGGAGCCGTCTCGACGGAACTTGGGGTCCTTGGTGACTCGGACAAAGACGTATAGATCTCCGTTCTGACCACGAGCATTGGGGTCGGAGGATCGGCCAGTAGCAGGCGCATCGCCAGCACCGTCAACTCGAAGTCGCATGCCGTCCTCGATACCGGCAGGGATTTCCACCGTGATTGACTTTCTCTCCCTCACAACGCCATCACCTGAGCATGTCTTGCACTCAGCTCCCTTGGGAATAACCGTACCGGTACCATCACAAGTTCCGCAAGTAGATGCCATTTGGAAGCCACCCTGCATGAAGTGTACTCGAGTCCCGGTTCCATCACAAGCACTGCAGGCACTCCTCGATGTGCCAGCCTTCAGGCCGTTACCCTTACATGTACCGCATGTGCTAAGTGGTGTGACCGAAATCGTCTTGCTGGTGCCTTTCGCCGCCTCCATAAAGCTTATGGTAGCTTGAACTTCGACATTATCACCGACCAAGATCTCGTGCTGATGAGCTTGCTGTCGTCCACGGCGGCCAAAGCCTTGTTGTCCAGTAAATGCTGAGAAGATATCCTCGAAGTTGACGCCGCCTCCGAATCCTCCCTGTCCGCCAAAGCCGCCGAATCCTCCCTGTGAACCAAATCCTCCAAAGCCAGAGAATGGATGCCCTCCACCGAAACCACCGCCACCACCACCTGGTGCACCTCCCCCGCTGGGATCGAAGCCAGCGGCGCCGAATTGGTCGTACTGCTCGCGCTTCTTGGGGTCGGACAGAATCTCGTATGCGGATTGAATATCGGCGAACTTATCCTTGGCCTGGGGGTCCTTATTCGTATCGGGATGGAACTTTTTCGCTAGGCCGTAGTATGCCTTCTTAATCTCGCCGGCCGATGCGCTCTTACTAACACCAAGAGCTTGGTAAGGATCCTTCTGCTGGACGGCATTTGTAGCATGGAACAACTATCACATATCAGAATGTAAAATTTTATCAATTGGTATTGAGCTACTCACCCGCTTCGCTGAAGGAGCTCGAGTCCTCTTCCTCAAAGAAGATCGGCTCTGAGAGCCCGCCCGCCATGCCGCAGTGTGAAGCTGGGCACCTTTCTTTAAACACTGAAACTTAGGTGCATTATGCGCCAGCACACGCGCAGGAGCGGCGGCCTTCGATATCAAACTAGGATTCATCTTGAACTGCAACAATTCATCTGACTCTAAAAAAAATACAGAGAAATGCAAAAGGTGCAACGAGGGAAGAGTGAAACGTCACGAGCAACTAGCGGAATAGCTCGTGCTTCTCTTTTTTTCGAGACCTATCTCGAACTTTTCCATGGGCAAGCCTCAGGCATCCAGCTTCGTCATAACGGCCGGCTTCGGCTGCGTTATACACGGAAGCTTATTGGTCAACATATATCCAGGAACAGCGGAAGCCGATGATAAAGCAGGTCGCTCAAGAAATAATTTTTATGATGAGTTGAGGCAAGAAAACTAGTAAGATAGTCAGACATTGTGATCTCAAGCCTTAGATATTACTTTTATATCATATATAAGTAGAATCAAGAGGAAACCCAATACTCGAATATCATGGCAAAGATATCGGCGGCGGTTTTATGCCGAATGTATCCCCCCGACTAGCCGAACATTCAGTATCATGCATGCAATAGAAGCCGAGAACAGGCTATAGAATGCCGTGATCCTTGACAGATCACGACGGGTGAGTCAGCAAGATCAGTTGTCATTTTCTGTGCAGTATGGACTTTTAACAAGTAATTATGTCCTCGGTTGTCCTCTTCATTGAGTAGGGGTCAGATTTTGAGCTAATGATGAATTGATGGCTTATCATGATAACTCCCCAGGCAACGCCACAAAAAAGAAGAAGAAAGAAATCGCAGTCGACAAAACAACCAAGTAGATGTAAGAGAATAAATAACAGTGCCATAGTATTCGCGCGCTCTATCTGAAAGAACGCATAGTCCCTAAATCCTTCATGAACCTTTGGGTATTAAAGTACCCTGAAACATAGTAGTTTAAAGCAGCCATTGTCCGGCTCTGCTTAAAGTGGTATCCTTATGACGTAATCTGAATCCGCGCAAGACATTCAAGTCTATGTTGAGTCTCATCCTATGCACAATGCAATCATGCCCGTATGCCGTTGCAGCCCTTTGTAAAAACAAAATTCGCAGGTCGCTGGAAGCAAAACAGTTCTAACGCTTGCGTTGAACGCCAAAACTCCATACCAATGTAACCGTCCCTTGCGTAAAATCCATCGCTTATAAGCGCCCTTATTTTGCCAAAGTCGGGGTCTTGCCTCCCGTGTGTGGTTTGGAGATGCGACTGGGTTCGTGACGAATCTTGTAAATAAAATCGACTATTACGTCGTTCTCTTGCACGCCCATTCCATTAAAATGTTTACGCACAGCGAGTGCCAGCTGGTCTTTGCTCTGGCGACGAGCTTGTCGGCGTCGAACCATCGTTGGAGAATGGATGCCGATGCCATTCGGCTGCGAAAGGATCCATTGGCAGTATGGGCTCGAGAATGAGCTCGGCGTGTTCAAGCGATGCTCGCGACGGTAGGCATGGAGGACATCTCGGTCGAAGGAGGCCCAGTGCAGCTGGGAGGAGACAAGTTAGCATCTCGATACAGAATCAGAGCAACCATGGTTTGGTAAGTGTTGCAAATTGGCTCGATAAATAATTGAGACTTGGGGCTGGATTTGTAAAGGAGAGCTACAGGACGGCAGAATAAAGCAGTTAATCCGGCAATATAGTGCGTCAGGTATTCTCTAGCAGTCATCGTATGCTCCAAGTCTTCCAACCATCCATCGGGGGCGCGACCGTAGATCATGAGGGAACGGAGGGAGTTGACGAACACTAGGGGGGGAAGGCTCAGCTGGCGGTTGAGGAGGAGCCGCGGCCGTAGCATTTTGGACTTCTCGAAGGTGAGAATGGTTCTGTTGGCTGGCGTTACGACGCATCTTCGTTGAGGTATGGCCATTTCCACCCTTTTCCTTAGAATTGGGTGTGTCCGCCTTGTCGTCGTGATTGCGGGATGATTTTGCGGGAGGCATGATGGGCTGCTGAAAGATGTGTCGATGTTGTTAAATTGACTCGTCGCGGGAAAATGAGAGGCTAATGGGAGGAGAAATTCGATCACATAATAATAGAACAGGTTGGTAGTAGCAAGATGATCAACGGTTTGTGGAAGGAAATGAGAGGGGAGAAGAGTTGGCCGGAGTCGGTGCGTGATCACTTATTTTTCGGTGGATAGGTACCTCAGGGACCGCCTTACCAGAACTACATATCGCTGCGATAGCGTGGCAGCTGGCTGCTTCGCAAGTAGAAACCTCCACTACAAAAGCGGAATAGCCCCGCCTCTTTGGCGTCTGACTTCTACCATGATTCAGAAGACGACTGCACGACTCAGGTGAGAGTCCCCGAAGGGATTTTTGCACTTTTTCACAACTTCTATTCTGTCAATAAAATTCAATTATCTCAATTTACTTTGTGATCACAGGAAATGTCTACATGTATCGATGCGACTCGATATGGTGGAGTTATAAGGAAGAACATGTTTAAAATTGCGATTTCTATTAAATAGCAGCCCAGTTCAAGTCAGTACAGCTTAAGTGTCTACCAAATAAATAAAGAATGAATACTCAAAGAAATGAAAACCGAATGACCATTCTTCTGGCTTGTCGTTATTCCATTCTGGCCAGCCCTGAAGTGTGAAAACTGACTTCCTGACAAGAACCAAATCAACTACTAAACTTGGATTAGCGCACATATGTAGGCCTCGGAAAGAGGAAGAGATCAACTCATGAGATGCGGAAATAAATCACCCGAGAACCCTTCCAAACGTTCTGGACGACAGTCATCCATTTGCCTTTTGGCCTTTACCATTATTCGTTAGTGCAGGGGGCTTCTGTTGTTGAGGAGCTCCATAAACTCAACGGTGCCCCTCATTGAAATATT